GAGTTGGGTGATTGCTGGCAAGCCAAGGATTTGATCTGTGTGTGTTGGGCTCTGGTAAACACAGGTTACTAGTTCACCACTGTTCAGTGTCCATATGTCGATATCAAGGAATGGAAATTGTTGCTCTTTTCTTCACATGTGAATTTGATTCCTGTGAATAAGTTGTTGAGTAGGTGGTATGCTTTTTCTACCTTGGAGAGTTTGATGATGACAAAAGTGTCATCGATGTAAAATACCCAAAATTTTGGTTGAATAATAGGTAGAGCAATGAGTTCAAGTCATTGCATGACCGCCTCTGCTATCAAGCTGGATATGGGCAATCCCATTGGTGTGCCTTGCATTTGTTTGTAGATTTTGCTGTTAAATTTGAAGTGTGTTGGGAGACATAGCTCCAGAAGTTTCATGACTGCATCAGTAGACATGGAGTGCTCTGTAGGTGTGCTCTCTTTGTTGTCTTGGTGTTTTGTGAACAGGTCACAGATGGTTTGTTTGGCTAAATCGATGTTGATCGAAGTGAACAGTGCAGTGATTTCAAAAGAACCCATGATTTCTTTATTGCTGATTTTGATGTTGTTGATTAGTTGAAGAAACTGTTCAGATGAGTTTATTGAATCTGAGTCCTTGAGAAGGTGGTGGAGCCTTTTTCGTAAGGTTTTCGCTAACCTGTAGCCCAATGCTCTGGGTAGCGATACTATTGGGCAAAGAGGGACTCCATGATCTTTGTACTTTTGGAAGTCTGCAGAATCTGGGTATAGTTGGAGTCTTGTGGCTATAAGTACCTCCTTTCTGTCACAATCATTTTCTTTCATTTTCCATTTTCTTCAGGGTGTTTTTTATTTTATTCCCCAGATGTTTCATCAGGTTATTGTTCATTATCTGGTAGGTATTGGTGTCATTTAGCAGGTCTTCAGTTTTGTTGATATAATCTGTTTTGTTCATTATCACGGTCAGTGTGCCTGTGTCTTCTGGTAGGATGACAATGCTTTCCTCTTGTCTCAGTTTCCTTAATACCTTCTTCTCTTTCTAGTTGAATGTTTTATTATGTTTGTTGGATGTTTGGGATGATTCTCTGCCTGATGTACTCTTGTATGTCATCGCTGAGATTTTTGGCTTTCAATATGGATTCAAAGTTGGCTAGAAAACTGACCAGGTCCATGTCCTTGTGATTGAAATTAAGGCTATGTGTGAGGATGGTCTTTTCGTCATCTGATAGGGTCTGTTAGATAAATTTTTCATTCACAGGTTAGAGTTGTGATATTGTGATTTGGGGTGATCGCTGTAGTGTCTTCTGTAGGGCATTACATTTTTAGGTCTGAAACTTGTCAGATTTTCTGTTGATCACATATTCCAAAGAGTCCATCAGGTTTTGTCCAATAGTGTTGAGGCACTTGGCTTTCTGTTTATTTATGATGCATTGATATTTTTCCGGGTGATTATGGGCATTGGTGATCATAAATTAAAGCATCTTGTGTCTGCTTTGGGAGGCTAGTCTCCATGCTTGTGGGTGGTTGATCAGTGGTCAGTAACATACGCTTTTTGGTAATACTTGTTTCCTTCTTTTCTTTTTTTCATAAACATTTGAATACAGTGTATTGTCAGGGTATATTATTTACAAAAGAAAAACAAAAAGAAAACAATAAGAAAACTTAACACATATACTGGTAACAATAGTAATAATATAACAGAATAGTTTTGGCTAAATTACTCTTTATATTAGCTTATTTATAATTCTGTTAATTATATTAGCATATTTATAATTATAAACCATCTTTATATTTAATTTATATATAGCAATAATCTTTCTTCATCTAATTTCTACCTCTTATCTCTAACCACTCATAAAATCTATTTCATATCAAGTAATATTCTGTGTCTTCTTTGTCTTTTATTTTTAAAGTCAATCTGTCCATCTCTGCACAGTCTAATATTTTCCGAATTACATCCTCATCTGATAGAGTGTTCTCATTTTTCCAATATTGTGGAAATACAATCCTTGCTGCTGTCAGTACACACAAAACTAAATATATAGTCCCTTTATCATAACCCTCCGGTATTATACCCAACAAAAATATTTCTGGTTTCAGGTCTATATGTTGCTTAATCATCTTTTCCAACCAAGTATGTATTTTTCTTCCAATACTTTCTTGCTTTCATACAAGTCCACACATATGATAATAAGTACCTGGGGTCTGATTACATTTTCGAGATTTGGCAGACATATTACTAAACATTTTTGCCATTCTTGCTGGTGCCAAATGCCATCTATAAAACATTTTATAAAGATTTTCCTTATATGCAATAGCCATTGTCAGTTTATAGTTCCTATCCCAAAGTTTTTGCCATTTATCTAATTCTATAGCGTAACCAAAAATTTTTCCCCATACAATCATTGTTTCTTTGACTTGTTCCTCTTCCATTTTTCGTAATACTTGTTTTCAAAGGCACTCATGGAGGAAGTGTAGTTGTTCATGGGTCAACAATTGTCTGATGGCAAAAGTCTCCCGGTGACAGGCAAGTTTAAGCAGCTGAATTTATCTAAGAAGATCAAAATTTATTTGATGCTGAAATGTAACTTTGGTTAAAATGTCAGAAGAACCATGCAGGCTCCTGTAGTCTAGCATCCTATTTCTCAAAGTGGCCAACCCAAATACAACTGGGAACTTCACAAGCAGAATTTGAGGACAACAACCATTAGAAATGTGCAGATTAATTCACCTCAATGAGATGCTTTGCTTATTGCCCAAGGTGCATGGTAGTTATAGGTCAAACCCACTTTGATTTGCAGATCTGTCTCACTGCAAACAGCATTTGTGCTTGCAATGTCTATGGGCAGAAGCTGCTATCACAGGCCAAAGCAACTGAGCACCAAATACTTCATTGATTAAAGTAGATTCACTCAGCCAAGATCCAACATAGGTTCAGATGTGACAGTAGCATCATTTATTTGTTTCAAGTTTTGGCCTGAAAGGATGGAATTCGTTAAACCTCCCTGAGTTGATATATCCTCCCTCCCCGTTCTTTCTAACTATTTAATTGCACACATATTTTGATATTTTCAGTATTGAAATGCTATGCAGGAAATGTATGCATACTCCTTAATGGTGATTCTTGTTCATTCATACATATTTCAGTAGTTTACAGTCCACATACATTTATTCTCTGCCTACTTTCTCCACCCCTTTGCCATATGGTTATTCTGACTCTTCGGGAGAGACTGATATATAGTATTTATCTTAACTGCTTGCTGAAAATAGTATTAGCAATTAGCTTTGTGACGACTTTTCTAAATACAAGCAGAGGGAGGGGAAGTCTAGTCTTCCTTTGGCTGTTTCTACTAAGAATATGTAGGATCTGCCATTCATAAATTGAAAGCGCTCCAATGAATGACATAAAGATCACACTGTTAACAGCTTTCATTTGTATTTTCACACAAAAGGACCATGGAGGAATGGGTTATAAATGTATGTGTACATATATTGTTCATTTCTGCTTTGACAGGAGTTCCTTGAAGAGAAGAAAATGTGTATCTTTATGTTGCACAGATACAAAGAAAAGCCTTCCCTTGGAGTGTTCTGTCTCAGGAAATTGCTGAGGTTCTCTATTACTGTAGTATATTAATAAGCTGATAATAAAGTCAGAATTGGGGAATAAATCCCATTTTAATACATTGTTTTCACCAATCAAATTTAGAATTGTAAGTTTTTCTTTTGAAATTTAAGTATATATCCATTCACTTGTAGCTTGTTCAACAATAACCAAACAATGAAGAAAATTAAATAAAATATCTATGAAAGACTATTAAGAGAACGGCATTAGGAAGAGCCAAGTTCAATTTCTAATGCAATAATAGATTCAGTTAGATGTTTCTGATTGTTACGAGCTCTATTTGCACAGCAAGCTTACCCATAGAAACATACATAGTTTACTTTTATTGCTTAACATTTATATATCATACTGAATTATCAACTATATAGCCTGAGTTCACATTTTCAGCTAAAATGTGGTTGCCTGATTGGGGGTTCACTTTTTCCGCACAACTCAGAATCAATCTTTTCAACCAATCAACTTTGGACGTCCACAAGTGTTGCTTTGTGTTTCTAGAGAAAAATTAGGAGACAAATGTACATACAATAACTAATTAAAAATAATGTTAGACTAACCATGAAGCGATTGTTATAATTCAAATATATATTTATTGGGCACAGACAGCTGCTTACTTCCCTGTATTTCCATCACCTTGATCCTCTATGTTAGGGTAATTTGGAGATTGTAATGATCTGGATCTTCCCTTATTAGCTATCAGGTTTTTAATGTTATAGAAAATTAAACAGACTGATGTGGTCTAGAAGTCCTAAACAAAGCTACGATTAATAATCCATACAACTGATTAAATTATCTTTGAGAGTAATGGTCTACAAGGTACTCAAATAATAAAAAGGTAACAGTGGATGAGAAATGCAGCAGCCTTCGATCCTTCTGAGATTGGTAAAATGAGGACTCAGATTGTTGGGGGCAATATGTTGATTCTACAGTATAAATTGCTTAGAGTGCTGTAAAGCAATATGAAGTGGTATATAAGTCTGCTATTGCTATTGTGCAGAATTAATCCAGGTTTCTTCTGTTCTGTGATTAAGAACCTCTCAATTCTTGAGATCTTACACAAACGACCCTTTCTTGGATGCTAACTGCTTTTAAAAATACTTAATATTGTGATAGCCATATTTTGATGTTTCAAGCATGAATTAATGTTTGTGAAATGCTCAGATATTACAGTAACTTTCACAACACAAAATCCTATGGATATATAACATTTATGAACATTCGAGCTCCCTGAAACACAGAGATCTGCCAACAGTAATCCAAAAGAATTACACACTTTAGGCCTGAACATAACATACTGTATGCATAACTCACATCAGATCAACCCATATGCTACTGTTAATGTGCCAACTGACACATGTTAAGCCACAAACACAGGGAAGGATTGGAACTAAACTGCATTTTTATATTCTGAAATGCAATACTTTATTATAAAGAATAAGTATAAGAAGAATTAGTTTAAGAAATTTATTTGACATTACTTCATTCTGGGCAGCAGCATGGTAGGTGCAAGTGGCGGGAATGAGATGAGGCGCTGTTCTGAGAGGCTTCCATGGTGTCTGGCTCCATTCTTCCTTCAGAGACCTCGGTGCTTTAATCCAGACTGAATGGGCTGATTTGGAGAAATGCCAAGTCTTTCAAAATGTCTTCCTTTCTTTTCGGGAGGAAGGCTCAAAGAAAGTGTCTCTTTGCGTCACCCGGGTGCTTTTATCCAGTCTGATTGTATAATTTCACTTGAGAAATCAGAATGGATGAGTTTCCTCAGCCTGAACCTATTCTCTTGAAGATACTGCATCCATTCCAGGCTTATGTCTTCCTCCTGGGTGCTTTTACCCAGCCTGAACGGGCTGATTTGGACAAACACTATGTCTTTCAAAATGTCTTCCTCTTGTGACTGATGGTCAATCTGAGCCAGATTCTGAGCCAGGGCCTCCTTGACAGCGAGGGCTTGGTTGAGTTCTCTAAGCTTCTTTGACAGCTGAGCTAGCTGGAGGGCACACTCAGCAGCGTAGTTTTCTGAAAACAGAGGACCATCCAGGTTTACTGCAAATATCAAATTGATTTTCACCAGTATCTCGGCAGTCTAATTGGCTGTTTCATTCTTCTTGAGGAGTGAATGGTCTTTCTCTATCAGACAGAGATTTTCTTCAGGCTCACCCCAAAGCCTCCAGATGCAGTTCCAAAAGCAGCTCGAATGGGAAACCATGGCAGATCCGCCCCTCGCTCACCCGGCATTCTTTTATATTCTGATTATTCTTGGGGTCCACAATTACATTTTATCTTAATGTTTTATTTTCTCCCTTTTTCCATAAAGATTTTATTTCAATTACTGCATTTCACACATCTGTTAGCATAATTCTTTTGGGATATGGAACAGGATGGATGAAACTGAGAAAAATAGAAATACATACTGTACAGTAAGAAGTCAAATACAAAATAAGCAGTTGGTGAGCATAACAATTAACAAATACAGATATATCTAAATCTCACTAGCAATGGTGTGTGTGTGGGATGTGGATTTTTGTCCTTGGATGAACATGTGCCATGGATTACCCTGGATTCTTCCTGGTGCTTCTGTTTCCTTCCAAATGCTACAGGAAATGGAGTCTGGCTTCCCAGCATGCACTTGTTTCGGGAGTGAGTGTTGTTGGGTAAAAGGTCAGCTTCCAAACAATACTGATTGGTATTTGGCCCCTGGCCACTAGATGGGGCTAGAGAACAATATCTATATACAAATTATATGCTGGGGCATGTCAGATACTTCTTGTACATCAGTATTGATAGCATTTTTTTTTCTGGGCCAATTCAGGTAAACAGAGCCGCCATTACAGTTTTGCTCAGAGTGATTCCTTATTAAAATCCAGGACTTGGTACAAGAGGAAGGTTAGCATTACCTGAAGAGCATTACTTAAATGTTACGTGTGGCACCACTTTGGGTAGATGATTAGGTATAACAGTACTATAATATTTTTGTCTGCTGGGCACATAAGTGTATATTAATATAAGCTGGCAGACATGCATTGATTTGTTCATTACATACATATCTCATCTTTATTCTATTTATTTGCAAACTTCACTTCTTAGGACTCTTGTTGGAAGAACCGTTGCCCATCAGACTTTGAAAATCCCAAGTATCTGAGTCTGGTTCCCAACTACCCAGCACACGGGGTCATTTCAAACGGGTATGTGCCAGCTTCTTACCTTTCATTTTGCAAAATCCTAAAATGTTACTTGGTGTTTGGTTTGACAGGCATTTTTGGTGCACTACAAAAGGATTCCCTTGCACAAATCTGTCTTTGTGGATAGAACTGAATCGAGGTCTTGAGCTATATGCTTTTTCATTACCCTCTCTACACAGCATCCCAGAGGACTTTTATATTTTATTTACAAATTTCTTCTACTTGTCAGGTCTCCTGATCATTATTTAGATATCTCTTTCCTGATGGCCCAGTTGTGCACCACTGTATGTGCTATATACCTCTTCTTGACTCTAAAAACATCTACTAATTTCTTTCTTTTTTAGCTTTATATATTTTCATATTCACCTATTTTACTTGTATCTGGCTATAATAGAAGTTTGGATTGAGATCTACCTTTGGTTCAGCACAGTGGTGAAATCCAAATTTTTTTACTACCGGTTCTGTGGGTGCGGCTTGGTGGGCATGGCTTGGTAGGTGTGGCAGGGGAAGGATGCTGCAAAATCTCCATTCCCACCCTACTCTAGAGCCAACCAGAGGTGGTATTTGCCAGTTCTCTGAACTACTCAAAATTTCCGCTACTGGTTCTCCGAACTACTCAAAATTTCTGCTACCGGTTCTCCAGAACCTGTCAGAACCTGCTGGATTTCACCCCTGGTTCAGCAGCAAAGGCAGTATGCATGCTATTCTCTCTCCCAATTTTCCCTCATTAGTATAACCCTGTGAGAAAGGCTGGACTGAGAAATAGCCACCCAAGTAAGCTGCCATGGCAGAGAGTAGATTTAAACTTAGATTTCCTGTTTCCAAATCCATTAACTCAACTTCCACTAGTTTTTCCTCAGCATTCTTGTGATAGACTATGATTTGCAAAGCTTTCTAGTGCAGATGGGCTGGTACATACAAAACTGACTTATGCTTGGGGCCAGCCAGCCTGCCTTTCATATGCCAGCCGAACTGAATGTCTGGAGAACTAAAGCTGGCAGCTTCATGGATATATAGCCTAACTTGGTAAGTTTATAAGTTTTCATTGGCCAATTTTAATGATGGCCAGAAAGATAAGGAGAAAGAGAAACTTTGCTTCAACTTGGACAAATTTGAAAACAATATTGTAATTGTTAATCCTCAATTGCAAAAAATATGTACTTGGAATTAATAGTGCATCTGTTCCTTTAGTGTGCTCAGGGTTACAGATTTACTAGCTTTCCTACCTTTTAATTTGGTTTAATAAAAATTGTGTTAGAAGCTGATGGCACTATATTATACGGTAATGAAATATTATATAACAAGCTTTATTTTACAATCTCCATCTTTTGATTGGATTTAAAATGTAAATATTATAACCTGCTTTTGGTCTTTTTAATTTCTTCCTTTATAGCCTGCTTTTCAAACCATCTCATCTACTAAAGAATTCTGGGTTAGTTTTAATAAAGGCATTCCTTAATTAAAGATTCCAGACTTTGGATTTTTCAGATCAATGAAAAATAGAAAATCAATCTTTCTTCTTTTATTTTGTTGCAATACATAAAAATCCTATTCCTTTGTTAAAGCATTTCTCCATCTCTGGATAACAGAGAGCCACTGTGAGGCATAATTGCTGATTGATTCAATTCTTACTGAAGAGGAAAAAATATCTTTGCCAGAAAAATATTTTAAATATCACCTATCATATTATGTCAAGAACAGTATGATCCAAAGCAACCAGAGGTATAGATGTATTAGCTGGCTACAGCAATAAACAAACAAGAATCGTATGCACCTTAAAGTTTAATAGATATCTACAAGAGTTATGCCACAGTAAGTTTATTAGTCTTGAAAGCACCACAAAACTCTTTTCTTAAGGAGAAGAGGAATTTTTGAAAATTAAATTGTATTGCTAATTGGTGCCAATAATGAAACTATGCTGCATTCTGGGAATGGATTGCTCAAGCAGTTGTCTCCTTAATAAATTCAGAAGAAAAATAGAGGGATTTATGGATTACTGTGAAGAAATTCAGATGAAGAACAACTAAAGAAACTGAATGTATTTAGTCAAGAAGGTGGAGAGGGGACAGTTGTTAATCTTGTCACTTTCTGATTAGACAGCAACAGTGGGTTCAATTACAGGAATGTAGAATTTATCCTCCTGGCTGGGGGCATAAATCTTGGTTCCTTCACCCTTAGAATTAGAGCATGAATCCAAGTTAATGGATAAGCTTTGGAGGTTTCATATACCAAAAGACTGAGTTTACATAACTATGAAGAAACAATTACACAGAGAAATAACTTCCATGGAGATTAGTGGACTTGCGTCCAAGTAGGCTTTGGGATTGAAACCTTTCTTGTAAAAAATACCACTCTAATTCCATCTTCTTGTTATCCTTATTGAAATTCGTTGGTCTGAAATCCTGTATCCAGAAATACAATTTGGCCTGGACTGTTATGGATTAAGACCTTCATGCTGTATTTAACACAGTTTTCAGAATTATAGATGGCGTATCCAAACTTCAGACTTTAACATTCCTTTAGTTGCATGAAAATACATAGCACTGCAAACAATGCTAATATATTGTGTGAAGAAAAGGTATGCAAAGAAATAGAGTTTGTGCCATATTTTCCTTCATTTCATGATAAACAGTTGGAATTTTGATCCAAATGAGCATTTTCAGTTTGGGAATAATTATCAGAATGACAATTTATTTTCTTGCAACTTGTTTTTACTTTACAGTTTTCCTACAGGAAATCCTGCAATATTTAAACGTCTGCTTCATCAAGTTCAGTGCTGTTTTAAATAAACTAATGCCAGCAAGCTGGCATTTGAACGGCATGCACCTATATAATCATTACAGAGAAGCAGATGCAGAACATAAGATTGCTTGAACAATAAGCACTGCAATTTCCACAATAGCATTCTTTTAGATCTAATTGGTGCTTATGCAGATCCCTTACAAAAATATGAAAATTGCATCAGGATATTTAATGAATTTTGTGCAAAGCTCATCTGCATAAAATTACATTTCAGCAGGGGGGAAAAAAGCCCCAAGTTCAAATGCTATTTGCTTAAGAGCCAAAACATTGTGAATTTTGCCCACTCTGTTTTAGCCTTGGTGGGCTGGCTTTCATATTTTAAATAAATACTACAAAGTTAAAGCTTCCAGCTGCAGAACCACCCATCTGTACATGTTGTTTGGGATATTTGGCAGGTCTAAAAGATTATTTCTCTTCCTACCAAAAATAACACACACAAAAAAGAGATTTATCAGCAAAACAAAAACCAAACACACATACACAAAATCCTCCATACCACCTTCTAAATGGAAACATTTGTCAGCCAAATAACTATGGAGGCCTTAAAAGTGCTTTATAGCAATCAGTTGACAGGACTGTTATTACCTCAAATTCCCTCACCCCCACACCCTGGTCTGGCTGCCTACCAAAAGGCGCTTGAATATGGTGAGTTTCTAGGTCCATTGGAACTACCTGCACATTACCATAGATATGCATCAATGGTAGAATCATCACACTAACAAATCCATATTTAAAGCTGGTACCAGAGCTGCAGATGTTTCCATCCATAATATGTTAAATGGGGACTCCTATTAGACCTAAGATCCCCCCCCCCATAATGTATAAACAAACACTTTCTCTATGTAGGGCTTGCATATGCCAGCAACTTTGAAATACGTGCTTGGCCTGATTGATCTCCCACCCCACCCATTTCTTTTTGTTTCTTTTCTGTCCAGCAGAAAATAAAAGCTGTTTGGTTAATCAGTTCCCCTTGTTTGTTTTTTTTTACAGACTGCAACTAAACTGTTAATTTACGGGGGAGGTTAAGTGTTCTACCACTATTTTTTCAACACCCAGTTCTAGCGAAACAGTTCGGGCTTGTATATAGGTTTGAGTTTTAGCATATGTTTGCCTACATTAGGGAAGAGAAAAGGAGTGGAAACTTCAAGCAAAAATTGTGGCTACTGTGAAAGGGGAAACAAAAGGACATCTGTGAAGTAGGCCACAACTGGCAGAAGAGTTATTTTACCTCCAGGGCCAGCTGCTAGGGAAATCTATGCTCGCTAACCCCACAAAGAAATCTTTGTTTTACAATATAAACTCTGGAGTGGCTGGAAACTTAACCGATACAAATCAAAAGCTGAAATTTTGCTTCACGTATTTATTGCAGCTATTTTGCTTTCTTTGTCTGATTTTTATTTCCTCACTCAAAATGGACAGGGCTGTTGTTTTTTGGAAGGTTTTAAGGAGAGGAAAGTTTTAGAGCAGCGAAGAAAGATCATTCATTTACCATGGTGGATGGTATGTCTGAGAACGTTTGATTTTCCTGGGTATTGTAAGTGAACACGTATACTGTTTTCTCTTCTGAATCTGCCCTGTAGTTATTCTTGGTATTTGCTTTTGCTGCTGATAAATTTGCTGATAACTTTTAACATTAATTGAATGTTATCCTTTTTCTCTATTATAATCCTAAAAAGTGTGTTCCTTGGATCAGACCTCGTAGCAACAAACAAAGGAAGAAAATACTTATTTGGGACCTTCCTGGTCCAATTTTGCAGCCTTTATGTAAATTCACTCACTAGTATGTAGATTCATATTAGTTTAATAGTAATCTCTTCTCTTGGAGAAATTCTTCTTGCTTTTATTTATATTTTACTTATATGAATTAAGTTCTGGTTGCTAAACAATTCTCCAAGCACTTGCACAAAATCACTTACTCACCTCACCTATCTTGTGCTGCTGTTTCATATCATGTTGGAGTCTTTGTTGCTGTTCCCCTGCTTGGATGGATGAGGAAGCAGGAGGATGGAAGAGCCATCAAGGAAATAGGTTAGAGTTAGGGTTACTGTTTCCTTTCACAGTGGGAGACAATATTAGGGGGAAGCAGAACAAACCACCCTTTTGATTGCTCGTGTAGAGCTGACAGACATGGGGCAGAAATCCCAGAGATAGGGCAAGAGTTCCTGCCAATGTCCCACAGCAACAAAGAAAATGTTGAAAAA